CCGCATTCAAGATGGTGTAACCATTTCAAGCATATTGATATAAAATTAAGGATAAAAGTGGCAATAATTTCACCAATTTGTTCCCAATAAGTCATGATTACAGTGGAGTCTTTGGGAACCTTTAGAACTCAATCTCTGGAGAAATGTACTTGTCAGCTTCTTCAGAATTTGTTCACCTGTGGGAAATCTTGAAATTCTGAAGAGTCATATCAGATTCAAAGCATTAAGTCGGTTTCTGTCTCCACGGATCCTGCCATACCTGCCGAGTTTCTCCAGCACTTTTTGTTTTTATTCCCAAAATTCCTATCATTTCACTGAAATAATGACAGCAAAGACTGACGCATTAATCCAAATTTTGCTGCGGAAATTATTGTAAATGTGCTAAAATATTTAGGCTATTTCTTGTATACAAACTTGAGAGACCTTTCATAATTTTTTTAATTCAAACTTTGATGAAGCTCACTTAATAAATCTGGAATTAAAAACTAATCTCAATAGCCATGAAAACTATTGTCAATGGTTGCAACAAGAGTGGAAACCTACTTGATCTTGCCATCACCAATCTATCTGTTGTAGATGCATTTGTGTTTGATAGTATTAGAGAGAGTGAACACCACATAGTTCTTAAGGTGACAAAATCCTGGTTTCACCTTGACGATATCCCCCATCTTGTTGAACAGAACTAACTAAATGAGAGAGATTTTAAACAGATCTAGCAACTTGAAACTGGACGGCCATGAGGCTATCGACAGCAGCAGACTTGCATTCAGCCACAATCTGTAATCTCATAGCCTAGCATATCTCCCATTCTCACAATACCATCAATCTATGCGGTCACCCTTGATACAGCAACAAATGCAGAAGCAGCACCAGACATACTGGAAAATGAAAACCGAAAGTACTGCGGATGCTGCAAATCAGGAACAAAAACAGAAGATGCTGGTAAAGCCCAGCAGGTCTGGCAGCATCTGTGAAGAAAAATCAGAGTTTATGTTTCAGGTCTGGTGACCCTTCCTCAGAACTGAAACAGATCTAAAACATTTACTCTGATTTTTCTTCACAGATGCTGCCAGACCTGCTGAGCTTTTCCAGATCTTCTGTTTCAGGAAAATGAGGTGTCCAGCTGGTGAAACTGCATCTTAGGGCTATTAGTATGTCAGGGAAAATCATAAAAAGCATTAAGTTAACAGAGCTAAGTGATCGTGACTGTAAGGAGTTGGATCATCCACAAGTGTTCAGATATTTTCACCCTTGAAGGTGGGGAGCTCACCACTTCAGTGCAAACGGCAAGGCTGAAGCATTTTGCAACATTCTTCAACTGGAAGGTACAAAGTAGGTGGTCCATTTTGACCTGTTCCTGAATCACCCAGCATCAAAGAGGGCAGTGATCAGCCAATTTAATTCAATCCATGTGATATTAAGAAATAGCTGAAGGCTTGGGATACTGCAAGGAATGTTATGCAGTATTCCAGTGACTTCCTAAAACTGTCCCCAAATCCTCTCCGCAATCTACAAGACACCAGTCAGGAGTTTGTTATAATACTTTCCACTTGCCTGCATGAGCGATGCTCCAACAATAATCAAAGCTTAACACCATCCAGAAAAAAAGACAGCTTTCTTGACACTCATCCCATATATATTTCCTTCAACATTCACTCCTCCCACCAGCTACAAGATGCATTGCAGCACCTCGGCAAGACTCCTTCAACTGCAACTTTAAAACCCATAACGTACAATTCTCACCTAGCAGGACAAAGGCAGCAGATTGAGAGGGACACCAACATCTGCTAGGTACCCCCCACACTCCCTACAATAAGCCATCCTGACTTAGAGCATTCTTGCTGTTTCTTCACTTGCTGGGTCAAAATCCTGCAAATGCCTTCCTAACAACATCGTGAGTGTATGCATTCTACATGGCCTACAGTGGTTCATGAAATCAGCTCACCACTCTCTCAAGAACAATTAGGGATGGGAGGTAACTGCTGGCCCAGCCAGCAATACACATATCCTAGGAAAGAATTTTATTAAAGGTAAAAGTCTTCTAAAACTCCTATTTTGTTGCTTCAATGTGTTTGTTTGCAGTCAAGGCTACTATTAAATCGAGAAACTCAGTACCTGTTTTATTACTCAAAGCATTCTTCTGGCACGCTATTCAAAACAACTCCTAAGGAGGTAATTGCATCAGTTATCAGTTTTCCCATTTAAGCTTATCTTAGATTTGTTAGCTTTTGATTGGTAGCTTTTGTTTTGCCATGTGACTTCCAAAGCAAATATCTATCCTAAATCTAGAGTGCTATGGAACTTTTCCATCTTTAAAGAAGATGAAGCATATTCCATACACATGCTCCACTTTTCTGCTTTTGCGACAGAACAATGATCATCCTGTCTTTTAATTGAATGCCAGTTGTTCTAATGACTTTCAGTCAAGAAATGTCGGCATGTGTTTGGCTTTTGAATGGGTTAAAATTGGGCACTTCTTCTGAAATTTTTTTTAAAGGCTTTAGAAAGGAAAACTGTCCAATAACGTACTGCTCTTTACAGGGGTTATGTTCCTAGAAAACCTTGCAAATTATGTATGCGTTTTTATAATGGGAGTAACTTGGATATGTTCCAACCAGCTAAACCTTTAGATGCATACAGTACATGATGGATGGTATGGTGGCTCTGCTTAGCACTGCTGCCTGACATTGCCAGGGATCCCAGTTTGATTCCACCCTCAGATGACTGTCTGTGTGGAGTTTGCACATTCTCCCCTTGTTTGCCTGGGTTTCCACCGGGTGCTCTAGTTTCCTTCCACAGTCCAAAGATGTGCAGCTTAGGTAGATTGACCATGTTAAATGCCCATAGTGTCCAAGGATGTGCAGGCTAGGTGGACTAGCCAAGGGAAATGCAGGTTACATGTGTGGGTGTAAGTGGGATATTCTTTGGAGGGTCGGTGTGGACTCAACGGACTGAATGGCCTGTTTCCACACTGTAGGGATTCTATGAATACATAGTGGAAGGATTATTTAATAGATACAATGATTTTAACCAATATAAACAGTTTCAAAAGTCAAAATAGAGTAGTAAAATAAGGAATATATAAAATTTGTCATACCTTTTTTAAAGCTTCTTAGCTGAATGTGATGTGCTTGGAGGTTTATTTGAAGGTGGATATGGAGGGTGTGGGTCAGGCTGTTTCTTTTACCTTCAGACTGCCTAATGTATCTAAATGGCGATTCATTAATGCTCTATTCCCTGCCCAACATTATAACGGGGAATGGTAGCACTGATGTCTATTTTATAAAATATGAACACATCTTCAAGCTTAATCACATGGCAGCCAAAGCACTCTTTCCATTCCCAAAAGTACAGTCTCAGCATGTCATCATTATATTTGTATCTTCTGAAAGGTTTTTCAGTTCCTGAAACCCAAAATTCAGTGAACGCTACACGTCTAATAGGAGAAACGGGAATGGCAAAGACCTGTATGGCAAGGCTTTACTTTAGAAATACAAATTGTGATATGCTTTTAAGTTTTTCTAGTTTATTGCAATGAGATTATCTTTGCACTGTAACTTCGTGTCAACTTTGCCAAATTTATTGAATGCCTGTCTGTATTTACTTATTTTAATGAAATTCAACTTTACATCTGCTCTAATTCTGCAATCACGATTTGATAGCGGTTAATCCAGTCAACTTACAGCAATAAAAAGAAAAGTAATCAAACAGCTATCTTTTCAACCTCAGTGGTGTCAGGCCTTTCGAAGTGTAGTCACTATTTGCTCAGTCAGTTTACTGCATTTTTAAAAATTCTTTGGTTTCCTTAGTTTCTGTGATACCAGGTACTTGCTATAGTCATTACTTACTTCCAAACTTTTAACAGTGATGGTCTGTGAGCTGTTTACTATAGGTAATGGCAGATAAGTCCAGTTTTATACTTGTATACTCAGTTTCTCAGCGATTCTTGCTGGTACTATCAGAAGCTTGATCTTCCACTCAAGGGTGCTGAAACAAATTGTCCCACCGGAGCTGAGGTGACTTTCCATAGACTGTTGACTATACCTGGAACCTGCCTCTTACATCACAGCTGTGATTGCGTTCAAAATTATTTGGTCGTAAAACACTTTGAGACATCCGGTAGTTGTGAAAAGCATTGTAAATGCATGTCTTGTGTTCTGTATGGCCCACTTATAGAATCGTGGTAGCAAAGAAGACTGCTGTGTCACCCATCATATCCATATTGGCACCTTACAAGGCTAAAGCAATGAGTTTGTCTTCCCGATTGTTTGTTTTTCATACTTCTGCAAATGTTTTATTATCAGGAACCTATCCAATTGCCTTTTTAACTTGAGTCTGCATCCATCAAACTGTACTGCATTCTTAATTTGTTAGCATCAAAAGTTGGTTTTCCTTATGCTGCCTTTGATTATTTTGCTGCTCACTTTAAATCAGCCTCCTCTGCGTCTGTTTTCCAGTGGGAACAGTTTGTCTCTATCTAGCCTGTCTAGAACATTCATGATTTTGAATAGCACCATCAAATCTCATTCTCTGACCTTCTCGAGAACAACCCCAAGAGAAAGTGTGCCTTTTGAGTTTTTTATTATTCCAGAAATAAGAATTTTGTAACAAATTTCTCATTTTTGAGTGAACAGTTTTTGATATTTTGAACGCTTTTAATAAAATATTTGGCAATGTTCCTTTGTGTCAAAATGGCAGTTTGTTTTGAAAATTAGGCACATAAACCAAATAAAATGATCTGCCTGATTTAGGACTTTTTAACTTCAGCTTTAACAAAATTAAAACTGTCAAACATCCATCGAGTGAGTCCATCGAATCAGAAAAATTCCAGTATTTTTCTGGAACCCTCAGAGATATTTATGCCATGTCCATAGTAATGTAAATTCAGATTTTAGTACCTAGATGTTGTTCCAATCAAGTAATATCTGGTGAAATATGTACTGCATCAGTAAAGCTCTTGATTTTTATTTTATTTTCTTCATTTCTTAAAAATTTCCTAGATAGCAGACAAGAGCTGGAGAAGTTTTTGAAACTGAAAAAGTGCAAAGTGCCAAAAATAATTGAAAGTTTCATTGAAGTGTCTGAATCAGAAGATGGTGACAGCACTGAAGATGAAACGCATCAATTCAACAATATCCAGGTATTAAATAATGTTTGGGAATCTGTTACCTTTTGTAAATGATAACAATGTTTTTCTGTTTCACTTGCTTCCCTCTTACCCCCTTCTCTTTAGAAGAGGCTGACAAACACTGGGGTGTAATGCCACAGATGTTTACATCCCTACAGAACTTCCAACAGACCAGTGTACCAGCAGGAACAAAAACAGAAGTTGCTGGAAAAGCTCAGTAGGTTTGGCAGCATCTTTGAAGAAAAAAATCAGAGTTAACGTTTCAGGTCCAGTGACCGTTACTTGGAACTCTTTCGGTTTTTATACAGTGTACTGGCAGGTTCTTTAGAATATCCTCTGCCATAATCAAACATGCATTTTCTGATAATGTTTGCTAAATGCTTTTCAAAAATTGGAACAGGGGCTTCTTTCCCTTTGTCCCAAGTTGAGATCATTTATACCACCTCTATTGCCACCCTGATTTACATCAGTTAGCAAAGTCTGGGATTGAACTTAGAAGTTAGCATTTAAGACCCTACCATTAACACTGTGCTCACTAACCTGGGACTGTCAACTATATTGGGTAAACAGAACTAAACATTTCATATTACTATAGGCAACAATGTAAAGGTGTCTCATAAACTGCATTAAGTACAGCAACAATTTTGAAAACTTCACAGCTGTTTAGATTGTGATTGCTTGTCCTTTGATGAAATGCCATGTACCAGCGTTTGCTGAAACGTTAGGCATATTGCTAGTACCTGAGTTAATGGTGAAATTAACTGGAAAATAACTAGGGTCTGCACAACTCCGTCTCCTTCACATTAACGTGCCTGCCGTGTATAATGGAGACTGGGGCTTGTTGAAGGCAGAAAAAACACTACTTTTACAAACTTCCTTCTTTTCTTCCATGATTTAATGGCATAAATGTGATACATTTACTCATTAAACTATCTGGAGATTCAAAGATTCATTGCTTCGAATATGTATTTCAGTTTTAATAGATGTTTGGAAGCCAGTACAGTTTTGGTATATGTTTTAGAAGGTACTGTGGGGAAAAAAAAACAAAATATTGCTGATCCTGGAATCTAGAGTAAAAAGAAAATGCTGGAGATTTTCATCAGGCAGGCAGCATCTATGGAGCGAGAAGTAGAGTTAACGTATCATGTTGATGATCCTCTGTCAGAACTTTAATTGTTATTATAACTGTATATGAGAACTTTTTAATGGGGAATTTATAAGTGTGATACAGGCTATTAAGGTTTTGCATTTCGGTAGTTCATTCAGATGTAAGTTTTGTAGTAGATTATACTTTATGTAATGACACTTAACTGTGAATTGAAGAAATAATCATACTTGCTACATACTTGCCTTGTACACAGTCCAAACGAATCCTCATTTGAATGGAATCTTATAAATTACATCATCTTCAAGATGCCTTCCAACCATCAGATTACTTTTGCAGGACAACCACAGATATTATAAAATATAAAACAATTATAAAATCAAATGCAATTGATTTGCATAGAGCAATGTCCCACAAAGAGCAAGCAAGTAATCTATTTCCAGTCTTTTTCTTTCTTGCATGAGAAATGTTAATCAAGGAATTAAGGAAACTCTCTTTGCTTCAAATTATTGCCATAAGACAAACAGATCTTTCAGGTTGTGTACTTACTAAATAATAGTAAAATTGGTAAGAATGCTAAAAAGTTCTAATTTGTGAAACATATTGTTGCAATAAAACTACAATGTGGGCATCTACCCAGCAATGAGGAAAATTACCCAAGTATGCCCTGTCCATAAAAAGCAGGATAAATCCAATCTAGCCATTAATTACCCCATCTTTCTACTCTTTATCATTCAGTAATGGAAGCGGTCATTGACAGTGCAGTCAAAAAACATTTGCTCAGGAATAACCCGTTCATTCGTGCTGAGTTTATGTTTAGTCAGGGCCACTCCAACCTCATTAAAGCCTTGGTCTAACATGAACTGAAGAGTTGCAGTCCAGAGGTAAGATGAGAGTGATTGCCCTTGACATCAAGGCAACATTTGACCAAGTGTGACATCAAGGAATTTTAGTAAAATTGAAGTCAGTGGAACTTGGAGGAAAACAGTGTTGATTTTAGTCATACCTATCACAAAGGAAGATGAGTAAGGTCTTCAGAAATCAATCATCACAGTCCCAGGGCATCATTATAAGAGTTCCTCAGGGTAGTGTCGACTGCCTAATCGCCATCATCTGATTTAAAAATGACCTTTTCCTCCATCAGAAAATCAGAAGTGGGGATGTTTGTTGATGATTGTACAATTATTCCCATACAAAAAGATGAAGGTAAAGTCACCATAGTTCCCAAGGACCGTAGGGCTGCTCATTCATTAGAGACAGAGAGAAACAACTGGTGGTGATTTTAACCTGAGGGTCACCATGCCTCAGGCAAGGGGCAAAGTTGAGAATGTGGGACCTTGGTGGTGACCTTAGCCAGTATAGGAATTGAACCCATGCTGTTGGCGTAATACTGTGAAAAACAGCTGCCAGGCCAACTGAGGGAAATGGACTTGCAAAATGCACACAAGGATAATGTGTCCATCTGCAGCCAGACCTGGGTAACATCCAGGCTTGGGTTATTAAGTGGTGAGTAACATTTGTGTCGCACAAGTGTCAGATAATAATTACCTGTAACAAGCGAGAATCTATCCATTACTGTGATGTTCAATGGTATTACCATTGATGAATCCTCCAATATCAACATCCTGAGGGTTACCATTGATTCAAAGTTGAACTGAGCCAGCCATATAAACACGGGCAACAGGAGATAGTTAGATGCAACAATTTTGCAGCAAGTATCTTGTCTCCTGTCTTCCCAGTGCCTGCCTACCATTTATAAGGTGCAAGTCAAAAGTTTGATGGAATACTCTGCATTTACCTGGTTGCGTGCAGTTCCAACAACACTCAAAGCTAGGCACCTTCTACTTGATTGTGTACTAGATTAGCAACCCATCCATCACTTCCAACATTTCCTTTGCCGCAGGTGCACAGTGACAGCAGTGTGTACCATGTACAAGATGCACTGCAGTAACACATCAAGGCTCCTTTGATTGCCCCTTCTGAAAGGGCAGCAGGTGCATAGCAATAATACCACCTGCCAGTTGCCCACCAAGACATGCACCAAATGACTTGGAACCATATCGCCATTCCTTTATTATTGCTGTGTCAAAGTCCTGGAACTCTCTTCTTAACAGCACTAGTATACCTAGAACGCCAAGGACTTAAGTGGTTCAAGAAGGCAGGTCACGACAGCAGCTTCAGTGCAATTAAGGATGGTCATTGAATGGTTTCTTAGTGCAGTGCCATGCACCAAATCAAAAAAAAAGACATAGTAAATTGTATTTGTATAAATATATAAACAGTAGTGGTGAAAGGCAGGTGAATTTGTTTCCTCTGTAAATCTTGGATGTGTATATCCTAGATTCAAGTTGGAATTTAATATTTACATGTTAGATTTACAAAGATGTCAAGTTAATTTATCTCTGAACGATTTTCGATTACTTACTTGAATATTGACCCGGATTTTAAGGTCAGCAGCAAACTAATGGTACTCACTGTTCATTTTGCTTACAGTGATTTTTCTGAGCATTTGCACCACAGCTTAAAGTAAAGTTGAATCAGTGATAGTAGGAACTGCAGATGCTGGAGAATCCAAGACAACAAGGTGCAGAGCTGGATGATGCTGCTTGGCCTGCTATGTTCATCCAGCTCTGCACCTTGTTGTCTCAGCTTAAAGTAAAGATTTATTTCAGTGCAGTGCCCTCTGCAGGAGAGCTGGAACCTGTATGAAAAGGGCAAGCAACAGCATACTCCCTTCCACTCAGGAAGATTGAAGAATCTTACTGAGGCACACTGTAGGTAATAAATCAATTATAGGTCATAAATCACACTTAACTTTTACCCAGAGGAAATCTTTTTAATTCTCTTCTTACACGACTTTAACCAATTGGCAATCAGGATTCTTGGCTAGTAATTCTGTCAAATATATTCAAAAGTAAAACAAGAAAGAAAATTATTGAAAACTGAAGAAAGTGACTTTATAACTCTGTTTCATTTTAATGGAACTGTTCTGAAGCATTAACTGAGTTTTCTTCTTAATGATGTCCCCACATCTGTTGAGTTTTCCAGCATTTTGTTTTTAAGACTTCCAATATTCACAGTATGTTGCTTTTGAATCCACTGCTCTGTTCCTGAACAGGAAACACTTGAGCATGGTATTTCACATGTGAATTAATGTTACTGTTGATTTTAGATGTGAATTACTACATCCGTTGCCACGCACACCATCATCTTGTGGTTCATTACAAACCAGCAATCATCCCTTCCAATCGGAACTCTTCTGGTCTACACTTCACACCCACTTAATCAAGAGCCTTGAACATGTTTTTATGGAGAGTATCACTGTGAACTGAAATATATATATATATAAAATATAGGAAACAAAAACAAATTTCTGGAAAAGCTCAGCAGGTCTGGCAGCATCTGTCGAGCGAAATCAGAGTTAACGTTTCGGGTCGAGTGACCCTTCTCCAGAATTCAGGAAGCCAAGGAACTAACCTGGGTTCAATGGAACATGCAGGAGGAAATACCAGGAACAGCACTAGGCAAGCCTTAAAATGAGGTGTCAACCTGTGAAACTGCAATAGGGCTTGCATGCCAAGCAGGGGAATCAGCATGCAATGTACAGAGCTGCGAGACCTCTCTACTAATGGATCATATCTAAGTTGTGAATGTTGTTGGGCAACTGAACAACTCACTGGATGAGGAGTATCCCCATCTTTAACATCAGTGCAAATACAAGGCTGAGGCATTTACAAGCTGCTGCTTCCAGAAGTGCTGGGTTGATAATCATCCCAGCCTCCTACTGAGGTCCCTAGCATCATGATGTCAGTCTTCAGCCAATTCGATTTACTCCACACAATATCAAGAAATGACTGAAAATACTGGATTTTGCAAAGACTATAGAATCTGACAACAAAGATATGCTCTCGAACTAGCCATGCTCCTAAAGCGCTGTTCCATTACAATTACAGTACTGGTATCTACCCCTCAATATGGAAAATTATCAATGAATGTCCTGTCCTCAAAAGCAGACAATTCTGACCCAGCCAGTTATCACAACAATCTACCCTCAATCATCAATAAAGTGATGGAAGGTATTGGAGACAGTGATGTTAATCAGAAATTATTCAACTGTAACCAGCTCACTGGCACTCACTTTGACCTCTGCTCACTGATCTCCTCGTCTCATTACAGACTTGGTGGAAGAGAAATTTTCAAAAAAAATGTAGCTTTTTCAGCAAGAATAGAGATCTGTCTGTGGCTTACTATGCAGCTTAAGGATAGCATTAGATTCAAAAAGTTTTTATAGTGTTTCAAATTTAGTAGCAAGTCTGAAGATCAGGAGTGTTTAATAAATCAACAAAAGGCCACCAGAAGATTGATTAAAATAGAGAAACAATACAACACAGTAAGTTCTCACTTAACATTGTAGTTGTATTCCAGAAAGGTACAGTTTTAAATGAAACAACATTAAACATATACAACTTTGTCCTGTAACCGATGTAAAAGCTATAGTTAGGTTCTATAGGACCACTCTTTGTCAGCAAAAGAAAAAGGCATTTACCCGAGAAGTTGAAGTAATTTACATTGTTACATTCCTATATTCATAAATGAAAGAAAAATGAGCTAAATCTTTCTATTTACCTCCTGTTTGCTGACCTCCAGCTCACCATGTCCCCAACACCTCGACCTCCCTGGTCGTCATCGATGGTGCTTGCCACAATTCCCACACCATCTTGCTTCTTGACCCTTTTGCTGTCAACCCCTCCCACTTGCTGCTTCCCTGTCCTGAACCCTCGCTGTGAGCAAGGACTCGGGAGACGATTGGTGACAGACAGGAGGAGCAGTTTCAGAATGAGAGCAGCTTCGGGTTGCAGAATGTTGAGGTAAGTCAGAAGCTCAAGAGGCAGAGCAAGGTTTGGCAGAGAATGAAAGTATTGACAATGAAAGAGAGGTGTCAGGGTGCAAGAGAGGCTGCTGCAAAATGGTATCCATTTGGACTATGCAACTATGTGTCACACCTGACATAAAAGAATGTTAAAAGAAAACTCCTGACATTAATCGTAAATAAGTTCCCCGTTAGCTACACGGGTTGTAATGATGACAGAGAGGCTGCAAAAAGATGAAGACCTTCTAAATTAGTGGGTAACAAGGTGGCTGATGGAGTATGGTGTGGACATGTGTAATGTTATTAGTTTTATTCATTAGAATAGAAAAACGGTATTTTTATAAGGTGTAGAGTGTGTAAGTATACATATTCAGAGGGACTTTGGTGAGCACGATGAACATAAAGTTAGCATGCAGGTACAGCAAGCAATTAGGAAGGACGTTGTTATGTTGACCTTTATTACAATGGGATTTGATTAAGTCTTTCCAAGTTTGAACTGGGCTTTAATTAAACCACACCATAGTTTTGATCTCTGTATTACAGAAAGATATATTTGCATTTCAGATGCAATAGCAAAGGAAAGATTGGTCCCTGGGATGAGAGGGTTGCCCTGGATTAGAATTTGACTAAATTGAAACCATATTCTCTAAAGTTTAGAAAAATGAGAGGTGATCCATCAAAACAGACAAGTTTTGAAGAGGTTGGCAGGGTAGACACTGAGAAGTTGTTATCCTGGCTGTGGAATTTAGAACATGAGGACACAGTCTCAGGATAAGGGTCGTTCATGTAGGAGGCAGATGAGAAGTTTCTTCACTGTATTGTGAACATTTGGAATTTCTTATCCCAGGGAGCAAGATCTGATCTTTTGTGTCTCAAGAAATCAAGGGATATGGAAACAGGCAGGAAAAGGTTGAGTGAGAAGATCAGCCAGTATGCTATTGAATGACAGTGCAAGCTTGACAGGCCATCTTGTCTTCCTGTTTCTTGAATTGTGAGCATTTCATAATCGTTCTCTTGTAAATTTGTAGCCAAATAGTTTGAAAAGAGGAAAACAGATTTCTAATGAGAAGGAGGTAGAAGACAATGTTAATTCTATTAGGTGTCATCTGTAGTCAGATAGAGTCATAAAGTGTGGAAACAGACCCTTCAGTCCAATTCATCCATGCTGACCAGGTTTCCCAAACTAAACTAGTCCTGTTTGCCTTTGTTTGGCCTATATCCCACTTAACCTTTCCTATTCATGTACCGGTCCAAATGTCTTCTAATTGTTGTAACTGTGCCTGCATCTGCTGCTTACTGTGGTAGTTCATTCGACATATGAACCACCCTGTGTGATGCTTCTCAGCCTATTTAATGTTGGAAGCCACACCAGATTGTTAGAGAGAAAGTTTATGAAGGAACTATGATATATTTCCAAGTCAGGATGGTGAGTGGCTGGGCTGAGAACTTGCAGCATCTGGTGTTCCTATATATCTGCTGATTTTGTCTTTGCAAATGGTAGAGGTTGTGGATTTGGACAGCATTGTCTGAAGAACCTTGGTAATTTTCTGAGGTGTAATCTTTTACATGCTGCTGCTACTGATTCAGCAGTGGAGAGACACATGATTGAAGTGGCTTGGTATTGTGGGTGTCTCATGTATATGGCTTATAGTTTGAAAACCGTACAGTTTGAATTAGTCCAACTTTTATTTACAATTTTGTTTTCACCCTATTTTCTCTTTTCCCCCCTTATGGTGTTTGCAGTTTGGGTCTTTTGAATTTGTCTAATTGGTCATTCATTATAACTGCGCAAAAGACTGAGAACCCATAGAAGCTCTTGGAGTAATGCACAGTACAATCTTGAATGACAGAAGGCATCACCAAATGGTGATCATGATGAAGAATACTTGTGGATACTTCCTGTGTCATTTTCAATAGGGTGTAAGGTGACTAATATCTCTCCTACAACCCTGATGTGGAGCTAACAGCACAGCCCAGGAATCACATTAAAGGGTTTCTAATATATCCCTCAGTTGCAAATTGAATGACTGAACCGTTCAATACATTTAAGGTTTGTTCCTGTTATTTTTCCCTTGATTTTCATTACTTTTATTTTTATTTTATTTTTATTTTAATCCAAGAAATCAGACTCTAAAACATAATGGATCCCACTTATCTAATGGTTCAGGTCATTTAAATTGTAAATGAGGGATAGATTGGAATCGCATAATTTGCTTCCTGGATTGTGTTTTAGTTTTTTCACTATTTCTAGGCTAGATTGCTGAAAATGTGTTACCATATGGGGATGGAGGAGGAAGAAATAGCAGTATTCCTATATTGTCTGCGGCGTTATAATAATGACCGGCTGTACATTTGGGTCATGTGGGTGAGTTGAGTAAATGAAATCTCACAACAAATGGGAAATAGAAAATTAAGACAACGATATTGTCATGTGCATGTTGTTTTCCATTCATGTTTTCCATAAGCAATCACTTTTTGTATTGGTCATTCAATGTAAATTCAATATTGCTTGTGAAATTCAGTAATTTATTAGTTGTGAAATGTAGTAGACTTTTTGCAATAGTCCTCACATGGTTTAGACATGGCACACAAAATCTTTGCCCTGCATCAAAATAGAGATTCAGTTTAGAACCTTTGTTTTCCCCTCAAATTATTTGCTGCAAACTATTTTGTTTATTTTAGGAACAAGATGTCTCCTGCTTTGAAGATAGCAGTGATGATGATGATGACCAAACACTAAAGATTTTTGATGAACTAAAACATAAGTACTCTCGGGCCAAGGCCAACAATAAAAGATTGATTCAGGAACTTAAAAAGGTTACTGCAAAACTTCGATTTGCTGAAGAAAAGCAAAAAGAATATGAACACTTGGCATCTGAACTACAGCGACTGAGGGACCTTAATATGGATCTTCAAAATGCACTGCTTTTGAAGTTATTTAGATGTAAGTTTCTTCTTTCCAAAAATGGATTCCAGATCAAGCTAAAATAAAGGTTAATTACATCATATTTCCATGCCCTTTTGTTTGCTCCTTCAAAACCTTGTCATAATCCAGTAGGAGGCTTACTAAAATTAATTAGCTAACTGGAATGTTTAAATTGGTTGTTCAGTTGTCTTTGTTAATTTATGTCCCCTTCTTTACCAAGTTTAATGTGCTAAACTATTATGTTGTTAACTTGTGATAGTTTGAGTTTGTAGCCCATTATTCAAATCCTTTTGTTTCCAAAGTTTTGTGCTAATCTGACAATCATAATGTTTTCTGTAGCAAATATACCATATCTCTTTTCAGATTAACACCTTGGTTCTAAACTTTCCTGTTCTCTTACCTGCTGTAACCATTTAGTTGATAGGGAATTTTAAAGGATTTAACGTTTGGGACATCACAAACTGATCAGGGTATGATCTCAATGCAAAATACTGTGGACGCTGGAAATCTGAACCAAGCATAGATAATGCTGGAGAAACTCAGCAGGTCTGGCAGCATCTGTGGAAAAAGAAACAGCAATGACATTTAGCGTTGATCTGACTCTTCTTCTGAACTGAAAAGTGTTGGAAAAAACTTTTGTTATATGTTTGACAGGCAGAGGCCCAGTGCAAAAGACAAGGGTTTGTTAATGGTGGAGAAAGAGATGCAAAATTGGTGTAAATTAAGGTGTGAAAGGGAGAGAATGTGTCCTCCCTATTAATAGCAAAGTAAATGAGACACAAACAAGACAAAGATCAGGCAAAATACAGCAGATACTTTAAATCTGAAACAAACACAAAAAATGCTGGAGAAACTCAGCCGGTCTGACAGCATCTGTGGAGAGAGAAACAGTTAATGTTTCAATCCAAATTGACTCTTTTCCAGACCATGTTGACATTTCTGAAAGAATCATACTAGATTTGAAATGTTAACACTGTTTATTTCCTCTACAGATGCTGCCAGACCTGCTGAGTTTCTCCAGCATTTTCTGCATTTGTTACAAACAAGGTTGTAGGGTAGGGTGGTGGTGCTGGTTGCTGGTGGGGAGGTTTGGGAGTGAATGTAAGAAAAGTGGAGAACGTATATAGTACAATCTGCTTCTGAAGTTATTGAGTTCAATACTGAGACCTTAAAAATATAGAGTGCCTTAGTAGAAAGTAAGGTGTTGTTCCTCAAGCTTGCTTTGTACTTCATTGGAACATTGCAGCAGGCCCAGGCCACAAGAATTAGCATGACAGCAAGACGTTTGATTGAAATGGCAAGCAACTGGGAAGTCAGGTCATTCTTACGGGCAGGAGAGGTGTTCTGCGAAGTGGTCACGTGGTCTGAGTTTGGTCTTGACAATGTAAAGAAGACTGCGTTGTGAGCAGCAAACATATTAAACTGGTTTGAAAGATACACTAGTAAAATGCTGCTTTACCTGCAAGATTAGTTTGGAGCCTTCGACAGTGAGGAGGGAAGAGGCAAATGGGCAAGTGCTACACCTTCTGTAATTGTCCTGGAATGTGCCATGGTGGAGTGAGGAAGCATTAGGAGTGGTGGTGGAGTAGACCAGGGTAGTTATGGAGGGAACAGTCCCTGCAGAATGCTGGCAGTGGAGAGGACGATAACATGTGTTTGGTGATGGCATCTTGCTGGAGGTGATAGAAATAGTGACGGATGATCCTTTGAATGCAGAGACTAGCAGGGTGGAAAGTGGAAACGTGAAAACTTGTCATTCTGGATAGGGATGAAGGCAGAAGTGTAGACAATAGATTGGAAATGGCCAAATGTCCTATCATCTACACTCAGGGTGGAATCCTTGGTTCAGGAAAAATTCCATTATCCATTTCAATCTCCCAGTTTCTCTGTTGTATCCATTCTGAAGGTGCCACCTTATACCTAACTGCCTCCAACATGACTTCCTTTTTCCTCAAATGAGTTTCAATGAAGCGCAAACAAACTCAACAAGCTAAGCATCTCATTTTCTGTATAGGGACTTCAATTCAATAACTTCAGTCACTGACCACATTGTCTTTTCTCCATTTTTCTTACTTTCCCTCCCTCCCACAGCTTTGTCTTGTTTGCTTTACCGTTAGTAGAGAGGACCCATTCACTTCCTATACACCTTAATTTACACTTACTTTACATCTCTTTTCTCATCCTCCACCATTAACAACCCTTTTGCATTGCACCTCTGCCTTGGCCAAAAGTTTTTTTAAAATAACATTTCAAATACCTTTTCAGTTTTGAAAAGAGTCCTGACTCAAAACAGTAACTGTGTTTCTTTCTCTGCAGATGCAGCCAGAACTGCTGAGCTTCTCCAGCATATTCTCTTTGTTTGTTTATAGTCTCATTCATCTGATTAAAATAATATAGGATTCTGACAGGGTAAGTGGAACCAATCTTCCTCTCAAAGGAAAGCCCAGGGAAAAATGAATAATCTTCAAATTTGAACACAATTGAAAGTAACTCCATGAAGTTTGTCCTGCTTTTTTTTCATATATTCAAGGCCAAGAGACAGATTTTTAATCAATAAGAAAATCAAGTCATGGGGAAATGGCAGGAGAGCGGAGTTGAGGATTATCAGATTAGCCATGATCTCATTGAATGATGGAGCTGACTCACTGGGATGAATGTCGTACTTCTGTCTATGTTTATGGTCTTGTCTTAAATCTTTTCTTTTCGGTATTCTTCTTTATGCCTCAATTCCAGCTCCTTCAGTCAGTGGGCACAGTCTGCTTGTATTTACTCCATCTTGCCACTTTAAAATTTATCAAGTTAACCCCTATCCTCTTCTGCTCAGTATTTAAAATCCTATTTGATATTTTTGTACTTCCCACATGTCATATAGCATGCAAGTGAAGCTGCATTATTTTTTTCTCTACTTCAACATCCTTTTAAAGTGTTCTGTAGTTAGGCTTTACTTAAACTTGCCATTACATCTCAACTTTTGTATTGGATTCATCTCACCATAGACCTAAGAGTTTTTGCTTGTAATGTCCTTGTCACATTTATTTATTGAATTTCAGCTGCTACTCATCTCCCACCAACCTACCCCCAGCAAAGACAAAAAACAGGAATTGGATTAACAAAAGACCAGTGCCATGGTTAATCAAGGACAGTGAATTAACTTGCAGGTTCCTATGCTCCTAGACAGTGGACAGGCAATCCAAAGAGAACTGATATTGTGTAAAGTCATTCCTCATCAGTATTGATGCATAAACATTTTATTGTAAATTCAATATGCTCAGATCATAAACCATGTCAATTATGCTGTAAAGGGCAATTTCCAGCTACATAACTGATGGAAATTCGTTATTCTGGGCCACATAACTGTGTCTGTGTGTGCTTAATATAAGATGAGGGACCAGCTGTGAAAAGAGAATTTTTGTGCATGTTTATCCTTTGATTTATTTCTCATCCTATGTACTACTTTTAATCTAAAGAATAAGGATCAACACCTACACCTTTCCTATATGGCAGCCCCAGGAAAAAGAGGATAAGGATGCCCAGTATCATAATTTTTCCCCTCTGATAGAAACCACTTGGTCTCCAGCAGGAATATTTGCATAGCAACTTGGGTGAGATTTGCAATGAAGTAGAATGGGCAAAAGCAAACTGTGCCATTACTCCATGATTATATGAAATCACCACTGTTGGTCATTGTATAACTGAGAATTTTACATTGTTTACTGCGACTAAACATAAAATTTAAAACTAAACCTTTAGTTTTCTCAATTTAAAAAAGCCTTATTTTCAATGGAAAATGGTGGTTTCTGAAACTTTTGGTTGTTAACACCTTCACTGACTGGATAGCAAAGAACGCATTTAGACAGAAAAATTACATTAAGCCAATGGATTATACACTCAGGGTGCCACCTTATGGTTTACAATAATGTGAAGGTCTGTGCTCCTTTTCTATGGTCAGCAGAATGATAGCAGGGCACATGGATTTTTACAGTGAGTTGTAATGTCTCCTTCATAATCTCATATTTGCAGGCAACATAACCAATACTCAAATTAATTGTGCTAGTCATTTAATATCTACTGGTGATGTATTGATGAGGAAGATCTATAGGGTACATTTGGCTAATGTTGGCTCCAAAACAACATACCCCAGCAATGGGCGTTTGAAACCTGTTGATCTTTGGCAGACTCAATATCGTGTACCTGCAGTTAACTAGGACACTGATGACACTTAACCTCCAGCCTGTCCCATCAACAAGATCTGAAACTAAAGAGTTGAGGCTATACTTGGATGCTAAAATTCTTCTGCTTTAGATCTTAAACCACTGTCTTAATTCTTCAAGTGTTTGTTTTTTTGACTAGATTTTGCTGCTTAAATACAACAAATATCCCTGCTCTGGCTCTCGTCAAATTGCGTCCTAGGTTTTCTGGACTTGCATACATGAAATATATTCCAACAGCCTTTGAACTACTGTCAAAAGCAGACAGGCAAACTCAAAATCTCAGCATTCTGATTTTTAAACATTGTAATGTGTTATCCCTGATGTAAAACCCCATTATAAATGAAATGGTTTGACTTACATGCATAGCCTTAAGCAAAGACTAATGGCCACAACATTCTTTTGCTTTGGCACAGAATTTCTTTGAGATACCATATTCAGTCACCTTCCATTTAGGAGTACATGTACGTTTCTAGAGATAAGAGTTAATAAAACTCATAGCTGCCTAAAACTGATTCACAGGCCAGTATTTTTGCTTTATAATTGTCTTTACTGATGAGTGCTGCCGTGGAAAAATTTGGGGAACTTGTGCTAACTTGCAGCGTGGAAGCCGGTCATGAGAAAACGTTTTCCACAAAAAGACCTTGTTTAACCAGTTGATTACACAATGTTGTTCCAGCTGCAAAACAAAATATGGGAAATGTCACATACAGGTAGAGGCCTAATTCCATTGATAGAAGGAATCCAAGCAGCTGGATTTACGGGGAAGTTAGTTTTATAGTACATTATTGTGCATGCACACTTGACTACTCAGAACAAGTTTCCTCACTCAAACTTAAGCTACTTGTAAAACTATAGTGAAAAGAATTTTTCAGTTGTCTTATTCTCTGTTATTAACTTGTATTTTGTTTATTCCTTTCCAGATATTTATTAAAAGTTTCAGTATTATAACCAATGTTAGAGCATGAGCTGCTATTTTAGTGATTTGATAGCTGGTGGCACAGCCTAAAGTATTGATAGCTTTCATAGAAAGGGTAATTTGCAGTCATTTAAAATCTTGCAATCCATAATAACATTAGTTCTTGAATTAGCCTTTTGATTTATCATTCCAATTATTTTCAATATTTCACATTTTCAGTACCAGAACAGTACCATGGGTCAAATCCTGAGGAGGAGCTAATCGACAACACATCAGCGCATCAACTAATTTCAAGTACTCCAGTAACATCTATTCTGCAAGACCACTTGAACATGCAGCAAAGAGTTTATCCCTCCAAGAAAAGTCCACATTCTCTCCTTCCAACTCCAAGTACCTCTGATCATCTAGAGAGTCAGATTGAAAATGGGAACAACATGGTACCATGTCCCTGGGCTTCAACCCAAGCAATTGCTATGACTCAGCCTAACATTTACTCTGTTCAGGATGGAAAGGTAAGGTTAGCTTTATGTGTGAAAGATACTTCCCATATTTTGTATTTACAATCTGTTGATTCTAGTACAATTTGTAAATATAGGTTCACATTGGAGCTAATATATGGATTGATGAGGACAAGTGGGAAACTGTGAAACGCCAGCCAAGTGATTCAAGATTTACAAAGTGCTTGGCTGTAGCTGTGTGGGGAGTGGATACCTTGAAGGACAGAAGTGTCACTGGAATTGCATGCAACTCTACAAAGTCGTCACCCAAGCCACCTCTTTCCCCTTATAAAGTACAGATTATTAAAGGTGAGCTTAGGAACATTTCCACAGCAAGTTGTTTAGTTTATTTTTGCTTATTTATTATTCCTTAGTATTATCCTTTCCCATCCTACCTTCCCAATCCTCCTGCTTACCCAGGAAAGTTCTGGCAATTTACAGATTCTGCATTGAGTTTTGCATTCGTAGGTGACAGTTTCAGAATTCTGCTGTACCAAAAATGCTAATTGTCATTTTTGAAATATTTTATAATTTTTTTCTTCACTTCGCAAAGTTAAAGCAATTTTAAAAGAGAAATTTACAATTTTGCTTCAGTAAAGCATAGTGACATCATTTTGAATGCCCAACACCTGGTGACAAAAATTACTTGCAGCAAAATCACTGTTGAAGAGTCGGATGAAAAGTTGGGGCGAGAAAGGACCTCCTGTGCAGTCGGTTGCAGAACTTCTCATTGGTATAGTACATCTCTAAAATGGAACTGAACTGATAAGCCCTGTGAATATGGTAACAACTTCCCAAAATAATTTAAAAGCACAGGTTTTTGTATGTATATGATGTATGTTTATATGTAATATGTGAACTTTAATAATTAAATGCTGAATGTTACTATCCTACTGTTTTGCTTCTGTTAGCGTTCTAGGGTCATGCCAATTTTGAAGTGTCAAAATGGAGTCCCAGTGGAGGAAATATTTTGAAAGCACTGAATTAACTTTCTTCCACTGGAGTTTAGAAGAATGAGGGTGACTTGACTGAAGTCCATAGATCCTGAATGGTCTTGACAATATGGACATGGAAAGGATGTTTTCTTTTGTGGGTCAGTCCAGAAGTGGGATCCACTGTCTTAAAATTAGGAATCACCATTTTAGGACAGTGATGAGAGAAATTCTTTTTCTCTCAGTTGAGTCACTCTACCTCAGAAGGTGACGGTGGCAGTGTCATTGGAATATTTTAGGACAGAGATGGATAAATTCTTGTTAGGCAGGGGAATTGAGGGTTATTGGGAGTGTGGAACTTGAAACACAAACAGATCAATCATGAGCTTATTGGATGACGGAGCAGGCTCAAAGGGTTGAATGGTCTACATCTGCACCTATTTCTTATGCGTGTAGATATGTATGCATAGCCTCTAGTCTGAGCCTATGGCACATCCTAAAATAACCAACAAGAGAGAGAAGCTATTTGGCTCACCAATCTGTGTAACGAATGCATCTATGCATGGCACATTGGTAACATTGACCACCACACAGTCCGAGTGAAATGAAATCCTGTTTTCACATTAAGGATACCCTCCATCCTGTTATGTAGCATTACTGTTGTGCTAAATTGGATAAATTGAGAACACATCCAGCAGCTCAAAACTGGGCATCATGGAGTACTGTTAAACAACAGCAGAATTGCATTCAACCACAATCTGTAGTCTTATGGGCCATATCCTTCAATATACTAATGCCATCAAACCAGAGAATCAATGCTAGTTCAATGAAATGCAGGAGAGTGTGCCAGAAGCAGTACCTGCCAACCTGGTGAGACTACAATAACACTATATGCTTGCCAACAATGAACGGAGTACGCCATAGCGAAAGCTAAGTGGTTCCACACCAATTGATCAAGTCAGAACGCTGCGTTGGAATTTGAAGTCAATAAAATTTAGAATTAAAGTCTAATGATGACCATGAACCATTATTGATTGTCAGAAAAACAAACCCTATCTGGTTTACTAATATTCTTTAGGGAAGGAAACTGCTGTCCTTACCTAAGTGTGACTCCAGACCCACAACAATGTGGTTGACTCTTAACTGCCCTCTGGCCAATTAGCGAGGACTGTAGCCAGCAATGCCTACAGTCTTGTGAATGAATAAAAAAAATGTCCTGTCATGCAGTTGTAAATGGCAGTGGACAGGAGGATGAGGAGACTGCAGATATTCTCATTGAGGGGGAGCCCTGCACATTAGTGGAAAAGAAAAGACCAAACATCTGCAGCCAGAAGGAAGAAGTACATGATCTATCTGGTCTCTCCTGTACTCCCTAGTGTCAAAGGAGCTTGTCTTCAATCAAGTAGATTTACAGGGCTGTTGGCACTGAATAACATAGTAAAGGCTACAAACACAGACAATATTCCAGCAGTTGGACTGGAGATTTGTGCTCCAGAACTAGCCATTGGTCCAATACAGCTTGAATACTGTCATCTATCCCGTGATGTGAAGAATTGCCCAGGTGTGTTCCGACCCCAAAGCAGGACAAATCCAATTACTGCCCCATTACTCTACTCTTGAACAAAATCAGAAATTGCTGGGAAAACTCAGCAGGTCTAGCAGCAACTGCGGAGAGAAAGCAGAGTCAACGTTTTGGGTCCAGTGACCCTCCTCCAGAACATTCCATGGCATCAGAGTCCCAGCAAAATTGAATTCAGTCCTAGCTCAGAAGTGGTGGCTGCTGGAGGCCAATCACCTCAGCCACAGACAATGCTTCAGGAGTTCCTCAGGGTAGTGTCTTAGATACATCCATCTTCATCCATGACCTTCCTTCCATCATGAAATCAAGTGAAAATGTTTTCTGATGATTGCACAAGGTTCAGCACTATTTGTAACTCTTCAGATCTTTACAAAGTTTGTGTCCATGTGTAGCAAGACCTGGATAATGTTACTTGTCACCTAAGTACTAATCAATGATCACCACAACCAGAGAGCATCTAACTACCTTCCCTTGCCATCCACTGGCATTACCAACACTGACTGCCCCCTTCTCTTGGGGAATTGCCATGGATCAGAAACAAACTGGACCAGCCATATGAATACTGCAGCTACAAAAGCAAATTTAGAGGCTCCGAGTTGTGTGGTGAGTAAATCACCTCTCCCCTCAAAGCTGTCTACCGTCTACAAAGCATAAGTAAAAATGATGATGGAATGCTATTCAGTTGCCTGTAGGGGTGCTGCTCCAACAATACTTGAGAAGTTGAATACAATCAAAGAAAAAAAACTGAAAGAATTGGGGATGCTGCAAACCAGGAATAAAAACAAGTTACTGGAAAAACTCAGCAGGTCTGGCAGCATCTGTGAAGAGAAATCAGAGTTAACGTTACAGGTCCAGTGACCTTCCTGTTCTGAGGAAGGGTCACCAGACCTGAAACATTAACTGTGATTTTTTTCTATACAAATGCTGCCAGACCTGCTGAGCTTTTCCAGCATTGTCTGTTTTTGTACAATCCAAGAAAAGTCAGCTTGATTGGTACACCATCTAACACCTTGAATGAATGTTTACATTCATTCTCTCTTTAGTGCACATTTGTGCCATTTGGAAGATGCACAGCAGCAACTCACCAAGGCACCTTTGACAGCACCTGCCAAATCCATAAATTCTATCATGTCTGAAGGGCAATAATCACATGGAAACACCATCACCTGCAAATTCTGTTTAATACTAGATATCAGCTTGACTTGGAACAATGTCTTTATTACTTCTCTGTTACTGGGTCAAAATCCTGAAACACGTTTTCTGACAACCCAGTAAGTGTAACCACAGCAGATAAGCTGCAGTGAACTAGGAAGCTGGCTCACTACCACTTTACTATCAAATACGATGAGCAGCAAATGCTGACCTAGCCAATGACACTTAAGTTCCATGAAAAAGAAAGTTATAAATAACCATGCTGCCAAGAGCTCCATATATAACTGACACCATCCAAACAACTGTCTTAGCACCGAAACTGTTCAGTCAGCAAAATATATATCAAGAGCCTTGGTCATATCAGCAGAGACCATATAAAGCTCTTTTATGCTGCTGTACACATTTTGCTGAATCTACTGAGTAGTAAAAACAGTCAATAAATTTCATGCTTGCACTTAACATACCTTTCAAAATATTGACTAAGTCCTCTGAGAGGCATGTTAAGATGCACTTTTGTGAATTTTTTTGTAGATATCAAAATAAAGTAAATTTCTTAACTTGTCTTTTTGGACTCTTATGCTTACAAATGCTTTCTTCATGATATGGATGTCATGGAGTCAGTTCTGCACAGCACAGAAACAGACTCTTTGTTCCAACTCGTCCATGCCAACCAGATATATATAAGTCTAGTCCCATTTGCCAGCATTTAGCCCATATCCCTCTAAACCCTGCCTATTCATATACCTATCCTGATACCTTTTAAATGATGTAATTGTACCGGCCTCCTCCACTTCCTCTGGCAGCTCATTCTGTACACTCACCATCCTCTGCGAGAAAAAGTTGCTCCTTAGGTCCCTTTTAAATCTTTCCCCTCTCACCCTAAACCTATGCCCTCTAATTTTGGACTCCCCCACCCCAGGAAAAGACCTTGCCTATTTACCCTATCCATGCCCCTCATGATTTTATAAACCTCTAAAAGGTCACCCCTTAGCCTCCAACGTGCCAGGGAAAATAGCCCCAGTCTATTCAGCCTCTCCCTGTAGCTCAAACCCTCCAACCCTGGCAACATCCTTGTAAATCTTTTCTGAACACTTTCAAGTTTCACAACATCCTTCTTATAGCAGGGAAACCAGAATTGAACACAGTATTCCAATAGTGGTCTAACCACTGTCCTATACAGCTGCAACATGATCACCCAACTCCTATAGTCAATGGAGGCAAGCACACGAAATGCATTCTTCACTATCCTATCTACCTGTGACTCCACTTTCAAGGACATATGAACCTGCACTCCAATCCCCAGGATCTTATCATTACGTGTATAAGTTGCTGGCTAGATGAGCATTTATTACCCATTCCTAATTGCTTGGAGGTTATATTCTTTGAATCTTGTATGGTGGTCCCCACGTCCAGATGATTTTGAAGCATCTGTGCAATTGGTTACAGCCCCAGCAACTCACTCACCAATATCTGCAAGGTTTCCATCTTTCTTGCAGCTTTACAGTAGTCTTTGTCTGATGGCTTCGTAAACGTTTGCACTTATTAGGATCTTTAAATCATTTGGTAGCTTCCGTGTACTGAAGACATTGTATATTGATTATTGAGTTATTCACTTGTTTATTGAAGTGTTTGCATCAAGTTTATGCAATCTTAGCTCTGCAGTGACTAGAATTCACTTTTCAGAACTCCAGAATTGGTATGCTTTGGCTGCAGTCTTTCTTTAGTGCCTAGCTGTTTGTCATTTTGGCCAACCCGTTCTTGGATTTTATCCTCTTATTTGCCGTCTTGCATTTGCTGTGACTTTAACTTGATCTGACCATTTTTGTGCTATGCTTATTTTTTGAGATCTGCCTAGTGATTACATCCTGTCCTCCCCAACCCATCCCCCCCAATACACACACGGAGACAAACACATACCCTTCGAGAAAAAAATAGAGAAAATTGAGGATACTTCAAAACTTAACTACTTTCCAGAAATTTGTTGCTATTGCCTGTGAGTATGCCCATGATTGAGACATAAAAATCAGTCTAATTTCTTCATACAAGTTCTAGTTTTATGATCTCTACATTTTTTGCCTTAAATCTTATCCTGCACATATTATCTGTTGCATGAGTTTGAGTTCTTTAGTCCCTTGTATTTACAACCATTTATTTCATGTTTTCCTTTGCTCAGCATTTTAGGTGTTTTTTTTGATTTTGCTTATTTTGTAACTACTTTTTCCAACAAAAATCCAACTTAGCTTCCTATAGCACCTTTCCTGATTTCAGGAGGTCCCAAGTGTCCTAATGTTTGTAGTGTAGCCAATATTTGTTATCTAGGCGAATTCAGCAACCCGTTTGTGCGCAGGTTCCCACAAGCCAGTGAATTTATTTTGATCATTCTTGGGTTAATGTTGGGTAGCATACTACGAGAATGTTCTTGTTTCTCAAACTGACACATTGTACCTTTATCACCATCTGAACAGACAGATGGGACCTCCACTCGACAACTGATTTCAAAAAGTAGTACTTCAACAATACAGGACTCCTTCAGAGATGCACTGAACTGTCCGTCTAGATTATGTGCTGTAATCCTGGAGCAGGCCTTGAACTTTTCATCTTTAGTTGACAACAAGTATCTGGTGCATATTTAAGTTTCAGAAAAACAAGTTAGTTCCCAAGATATATAGCTTTAGATGAATATTTTTAAATATCTTATTTAATTTGTTAATGAAACTAAATAAAATTCTGTTTCCTCTACAGAACAATTACTGAACAGAATACGACAAGATGCCAAAGATGACAATGAGATTCACAAGCGACTAAATAAAGTTAATCGATACATTGGAGAAAAAATAATGGACATTAATAAGCAGTGGCGCAAAGCCAAAGCAGAAATATCAAAATTTAGGAACTGTGAGTGTGAAATAGGATTAAAATGTGAAACTCATGCACATTGTGAGAGATCTGAGGTACCCATCAAGGAAGAGATTGAAACCTTTATCTATGAATAATCTTGTAACAACTTATACCTTGCATGATCAGAACATTCTGTTCATGGCTATTCCAGTTATTATTAGTATATAACTGTTATTTAATTTGATTATAGTGAAATTTTCTCGTTTTTCATATCATTTATTTACCATAATATGGTACTACAGAAAGCCTTTTCCTGTTAATTTGTATGTAGCTGTCAAGTTTTAAATCTCAATGTTAAATCATTGTACAGGCAATTAAGCAACTTGTAGAATTCTACAGAAGGAAGCCATTTAGCCCATTGCACCTATGTTGCCTCTCAAAGCTTCTAGTTATTCCCCATGACTTACCCTTTTTACATATCTTTTAAATTAAAACATTCATCCACTTCCCTGTTAACACCTATTAAAGATTCTGTTGCCAAGTCCTAACAGTTGAGTTTAAAAATAAATAATTATTTTGGCCTTCTGTTGTTTTTGGCAATGATAAATTTCAATCTTTTATTTGATGGATTAACGATTAATTGGATGTAGTTTTCCTTATTTACTTAATCCAAGCTCATTGTTCTGAATACTGCAAAAGATCTCATCAAGATATTGGCTGTGATCTTAGGAAAGACTGTAGTGTTTCCTTATAACTAAATCTTTTCACCTCTGGCATGATCTTTGTGAATCTGTTCTGTACTCTGACTGTGACCTTGATGTCCTTCCCAAAGGAAGTTGAACAAATCCAAATATAAAATTAAAAGTGTGTCTTAACTAATATTATGTATAGACTAAGCCTTACCCCCTTGCTTTTGTATTCTTTGTTGCAATTTATAAAATATAGAAACTTGCATACCTCTTTTATACAGCTTTATCAACTATCCATTCTTTGGATTTGGCCATCACTGTCAGATCTGGCATTTATCACCGATCACTAGTCACCCCAGAAGAAGATCGAGATGAGCCTTTTTGTTTTGCTGCAGCTTATCTGGTAAAGGTATTATCATGATGCAGTTAGGTAGAGGGTTTTGAGATTTTAGCACAGTGACAACGTAGGAATCACAATATGTTTTCAAATTGGGGTGACTTGTACAACTTGGAAGGATATTTTTAGGTGAATATTTTTCCATTCGCCTGCTGTCTTCATTCTTATCAGTGATAGAGGTTAAGACATTGGTAGAGATGCAGGAATTGCCTTGGGACGGTGCTTCTGTAAATCTGCAGGTAGTAAATACTGCAGCCGTTAAGAAGGTATTTAAGGTGGTGGCTAGGGTGTTGGTCAGATTACTGCTGCATCCTAGATTATGAAAAGCATTTTGACAATTTAACAGCGATACACCCATCCAGGCAAATGGGAAATATTTCCTAACTTTTGCCTTGTGGATGATGGAGGCTTTGGAGAGTCATGAGGTAAGCTACTCATTTAAGTGGCAAGTAATATTCACAGCACACAGCCAATTATTCGCGGTGTCCAGATCTTGCTACATGTGGTCATGGACCCTTTTTTATGGGGAATTGCCAGTGAAGATGAATGTTATCATTAGCAAATAACCTCCCTGCTAACTTTAGAAGCAGCTGAACATAGTCAGGTTTAAGGATGCTGTTCTAAGCAACTCTTGGTCCAATGTCTTGCTGCTAAGGTAATTGGTCTTAAATTGTCACAGTCATCTTTCTTTGTACTAAGTATGACACTGACTGCTGAAGAGTCCCCCCTGCCTTTCATCACAACCACCACTACTTTCAATCTCCAGTATTACCATTAAATATACTTTAATGAGAGCTTTTTGATGTGGACTCGGTTAAATGCCTTGATGTCAAGATAGCCATTCTTGGCATTGAACCTGTGTCCTCAAGTTTATGGATGTATCGAATTCTGCCAAGTTCTGTTTTTTATTATTTTACTGTATATTTCCATTGATTCTTTTCTCCATGATTTGTATGTCTCCTCATTAAATTTCAGCTTGCATCATGCAATTGTAAATTACTGAGTAGTCACACTCAAAAAGAATGCCACTTCTCAAAGGGTAATGGTAGGTTTTAGATTCAAGAGTCACAGATTACCTACAGTAGATGGTTGAGAGCTCAGAACTGATTTTCAAGAAGTTTATTAAGAAGCAAGATGTGGTAAATAAGCTAAATAGATAAGCATACAATGCTGTGATAGGTGAGAGCAGTTTCTGGTGGATAAATGGGTGCATGTTTAGCTTATGGCAGCAGCCTTCTCTCCAGTGGACATGCTAGGAAAGTCTTGTTTTCTTTCACACACCACTGCCCCAATTTTCTGCCACCTTTCCTCGTCTTCCTCCATCTTAAGGTTAGGCAACTGCCTGATTAGGAGTACCCCAGTCTTCAAGTTTGACTCTGACAGTTTGTGGAAGTTGAGGGGCAGATTACTTCCCTGGTTGATCTTTAGCCATCCTTCCTGAGGAAGGGTAACAGATAAGAAATCTTCATAGCTATAACATGCACACTCAGCTACCTGCTGGGGCTGACTATGGTGACTAAAGTAAGTACAGGAAAAAGACCTCTTTGTTCACATCTTTAATCATTTATTACCACCTGCTTTGTTGAAGGCTGTTAGCAAGAAGCTTAGCTTAAAAAAGAATCCACCAAAATCCTCCTTGTTAAATTTTATTCTTTCATGGAATGTGGGCCAGCATTTATTGCCCCTCTTTCATTGCTTAGAGGGCACATTGCTGTGGGTCTGGAGTCATGTGTAGGCCAGACCAGGTAAGGATGGCAGATTTCCTTCCCTGAAGGGCATTACTGAACCAGATGGGTTTTTTCAACAATTGACTATGGATTCATGATCATCATTAGATTCTTAATTCCAGATTTTTAAAAATTGAATTCAAATTCCACCATTGGCAGGATTCGAACCTGGGTCCATCAGACCATTACCTGGGTGTCTCAATTAACAGTCTAACAATAATACCCCTAGGCCATTGCCTTCCCTATGGCTAACAGGACAGGTGCAGATGTGAAGGGCTAAATGGCCGCCTGCTGTATGGTAATAATAAAAAAAAAGTACCCATTGACATGCTTCATGTCTGGCTGTTTGCTTTCTATATACCAAATACTTGTACAATGACTTCAGGACAGGTTCCCAGGGTGTCCATTACTTTAACTTGAGGTTATCTTTTAGTTTATCACATGCTGAGAGCCATCATTAGCTTTTATTGGATGCTTGTATAGGTAAGTCCGTATCTGTAACTTCATCTGTTAAATGGATCCCAAGCCAGATGGTAAAATATGAAATGACGCACAAATCCATTTTCCAGGATAACTGGCTTATTTACAGAATGCACTATTACACATGTCTGCTTCTTACCTGGTAACACCTAGTGTCATAGAATCATATACTACAGAAGAGGACCTTCGACACATTTGAATCTCCACCAACAAAAAAACTACTATAAATCTACACTAGTCCAACTTTCCAGCCTTGAAAGTTATGACATTTCAAGTGCTCATCCAAGTATTTTTCAAAGGTTGTAAGGTTTCCTGCCTCAACTAACTTCCCAGATTTCACATTTCAGATTTCCAGATTCCCAGCATCACCTGGGTGATTTTCCTCAAATCCTCTCTAAACCTTCTGTCTTGTACTTTAAAATTATGCTGTCTTGTTGTTGACCCTTGATGTAAGGGAATAGCTAGTTGCTATCCACCCTGTCCATGCCTGTCAATCTTGTTTCCCTCAATCTGACCCTTCCCAGGCTTCTCTGCTCTAAAGAAAACAACCTGAGTTTTTTCAGTCTGTCTCCATAGTTAAACTACTCCATCCCAGGCATTATCCTGATGAATCTCTTCTGCACCCCGTCACTACTATCACATTCTTCCTACAGTGCAGTGACCAGAACTGCACACAGTACTCGAGCTATGACCAAACCAAAGTACTGTACAGCTCCAATGTAACCTCACTGTGCTTATAATCTGCTACTACTGAAAAAGGCACATGTTCTGTATGTGAGAACAAGGTGTAGAGGTGGATGAACACAGCAGGCCAAGCAGCATCAGAGGAGCAGGAAAGCTGACATTTCGGGCCTAGACCCTTCTTCAGAAATGGGGGAGAGGAAGGGAATCTGGAAAAGATAGGGAGAGAGGGGGAGGCGGATAGAAGATGGATAAAGGAGAAGATAGGTGGAGCGGAGACAGACAGGTCAAAGAGGCGGAGGTGGAGCCAGTAAAGGTGAGTGTAGGTGGGGAGTTAGGGAGGGGATAGGTCAGTCCAGGGAGGACGAACAGGTCAAGGGGGCGGGATGAGGCTAGTAGGTAGGAGATGGTGGTGGGGCTTGAGGTGGGAGGAGGGGATAGGTGCGAGGAAGGACAGGTTAGGGAGGCGGGGACAAGCTGGGCTGGTTTTGGGAAGTGGTAGGGAGAGGGGAGATTTTGAAGCTTGTGAAGTCCACATTGGGATCCCTGTTGTTCAGTTTGAACAACATACTGCATAATGATACTTTGAATCACATATGAAATACATGTTAATTTTCCAGATATTTCTCATGTTCATACAAATGTAAGAATTAAGAGCAGAATTTGTCTATTCAGCCCTTCAAGTGTACTCTGCCACTCAATAAGGTAATAGCAGATCTATGATTCCTGTCTATCTCCAATAACCTGAGAATTCTGATAGGCAATCAATCTACCAGGTTCATATTCAATGACCCCAGCTCCACCATCTTGAGGCAAAGGGTTCCAAAGTTGCACAATCCTCAAGCAATTAATCCACCACTTCCCTAAAAGGATGACCTCTAATTTTTAAAAAGTTCCTCATCCTGGACTCACTCACAAAAGTAAACAACCTTCCACGTCTACTTTGTCAAGACCATTCAGGATCTTAAAAACTTCAATGCACTCAACCCTTGTTGTTCTGAACTCCAGTGAAAACAAACCTAACCTGTCCAATATTTGCTGCTAACTAATCACTCATTCCAGCTATCAGTGTAGTAAACCTGGTGCACTACTTCTAATGCATTTACATCCTTTCTTCAGGTAAGGAGCTCTGTATGACTGAAGCAGAACATCCTCATTTTTATGTTCAATTCATCTCATAACAAAAGCTAGTATCCCATTAGCCTTCCTATTTAGTGTTTTCCTTTTGTGACTCATTCACTAGAACAATTAGATATCTCTGCACCTTGCAATTCTACAGCCATCCTCCATTTACACTGCATTTTCAATCTTTCTGTAAACAACTGCACATTTTCCCACATTATGCTGCATAAGCCAGATCTTTTCCCACTTATTTAACCTATCTACCACCACTAACCACCATGCCTTCGATCCCTCATTAAGTCATTGATACAATTTGTAGAAAGTTGAGGGCTTGGCACAACTCCTGTGAATCCCACTTGTCACAGCCTACCAATCTGGAAAAGACCCATTTATTCATTCACTCTGCTTTATACATCCATCCAGTCTTCTATCCATGTTTCCCCTACACTATCAGCTTCTATTTGGTGTAACAACCTCTTCTGTGGAGCCTTATCAAATGCCTTCTGGAAATCCAAGTATTGTACATCAGCAGGCTTCCCATTATACACAACGTATTATAGTCTTTCAGAGAATTCCAATAAATTGGTTAAACAGGATTGACCTTTCAAAAATCCCAATTACCTTGAGTTTTTCCAAGTTTCTGATTATAAACTTCTTAATGATCAATTCTAACAGCTTTGCAATGACAAACTTCAAGCTAACTGGACGATAGTTAAAACAAAAGCAAAGTACCACAGACATTAGAGAGTGGAAATAAAAACAAAGTTCTAGAGAAACTCAGCAAGTATTTATGGAGAGAGAAATAACGTTTCAAGACTAATGTGAGTGTATAGCTGCCTCTATCCCTTCATGAATAGGAGGGGTTATACTCTCTATTTTCAAGTCTAATAGTACCTTTCCAGAATGTAACACAGTTTGGAAAATTAACACCAAAACATCAGCTACATCCTGAACTGCCTGTTTTTAGAATTAAGTCCGTCAGGACCCAGATACTTATCAACCTGCAGTTTCCTCAGTTAGTCAATACTCTTCCCAAATGATTATAATTATTTCCAAGCTCCTCTCTTCCTTAAATGTTCAGACTTGCAGGTTTTACTGGGATGGTTTTTTTAAAAAATATATATTCTCTGTTAAAGTCAGAAGCAAATTTATTCATTATATCTATCATTGCATTATCTACTATTGACTCCCAGCCTCACCAAGAGGTTCAAAACTCATTTTAGTTACTCTTTTTAGTTATCCATAGAAACTCGTACTTTCTCTTTTTACTACTTGCCCTTTTGATTTATTAGTCCTAATTAACCTTACGTCATTCTCTGCTGATCATTGTATTCTCATGGTCATTTGATGTCACCTTTGTGTAATATGCTTTTTCAATGCGTTTGATGCTCTCCTTAACTTTTTTTATTCATGGAATATACTTATTCTGAACATTCTGAAATATCTCTTTAGCTTCTGTAGTGACCTATCTATCTAATATCCCATTTCACTGCAGCAAGCTCTGTGCTCCTGTCCACATAATTGCCCTTTTCAAGTTTAAAATAGTTGTCTTAGACCCACTTTTCTCCCTTTCAACCTGGATGTAAAATTCATATTGTGATCGCTAGTACCTAGAGGCTATTAATTAACCCTGTGACATTACACAATACCAAGTATTGCAGGCTGGTAAGTTCCAGAACACACAGCACTAAGAGACTATCAAAATAATTTTGTGAACACATCATCGAGGTTGCTACTACCAATCTGATTTTTCTGGTTTATGTGTAAATTAAAGTCACCCCTAATTATTGCTGTGCCTCAAGAACAGGAATCTAACCGTCCTTGTATAATTTGATGTACATTGTTGTTATTGCTTGGGGACCTGTAGATCATTCCCACAAGTAACTTCTTCCCCTACTATTCCTCAACTCCACCTAAACAGATTCTACAACATGGTTCCCTAAACCAAAGTGTGTTGATAAAACGACTGCTGTG